AAATCATCGATACATACCGCTTCGCTGTTACGAAACAGAAAAAGATTGGACGCGTTGTTTCGTATATTTATTTCGAGAATTCAGCGCCTTCTTTCGTTTCGCATATCGTAGGAAATTTTTGTAACATTTCATTCGGTGATCGACACGCTATCGTTTTTTTTTTTTTTAGGTTTCTCCGGTTTTCGTCGATTAATTTTCTAGCAATTTTCCCTTGATTTCCCTACTATCTTTATATCGATTTCCTGTAATCTTCTACACCAATTCTCCCGTTGCTTTACGATAATTGCAAATTATTAATTCCATCTCGTTGGACGTTCTTCTATTCTACTTGAATTGCCACGAGTCCTGTTCAAGCCCTATCGTCCTATTCTACTTGAGTTCTCAACGCAATCACACGGATACAATGTATACAGAAATTATCTAGCATTTATCTTATCAACGTGATCCGTTTCCATAAGCGTGGCTGAGAAAAACGCCGCATAATAAATTTCGACCGAAAACCATCGATCGGTATAAAGAGAAGCGAGAATTACACGCATGGCCAGAACTAAAGGCGGATAAATGAAATGGAGAGGAAGGGTTGCAGGAAGGGAAAAGGTGTATGGGATTCTCTCGTGATACCCTTTCTGAAATATTCAAGGTATACTCGTCGACTGTTTCGAGCCAGCTTAATTAGCACGTAGCTAATGTCTCTCCCTTACGAGTGATATCGTTTTCTTTCCTTTTTCTGTTCTTCGCTTTTCCCCCATTTCTCTCTCTCTCTCTCTCTCTCTCTTTTTGTTATCTTTCGATTTATCGTTTGAACAAGCTCAACGACATTCTTCCGATTGCAGCCTTTGTTTCGCGTCCTTGAATGCCACGACACAGCGAGGAAATGTAGCTTTGCGCAAAATGTCAAGTATCCAGGTGTTCTGTGTCCGTTTTATAAGCATTATTTTATCGTATGATTTAATAGAGTTTCATGACGTCGAATTATAATTTTATTCTCTACGTGGGAGAATGAATGCTTGTTAGAACTGCGCGATCGTTTCAAGAAAAACTATTTGGAATTAAAGCGCGTTCGTGCGTCAATCTTTTGTATTATTTTTCCGTGAAATGAAAGTAATTCTTGTTAAAAGTATTCGTGTAGCAGCATCATTTGCGTACGTGGACAGTGAGATTAAGAAATATACAGAGAGCGAAGTTGTAAGGGCGAACGAACGCATCTAACAGAATGGAAGCTTACGCTGGTATTCGAGCTCCTTGAAGACTCGCAACAGATCTCGTATCAATCGTTGATGCGTGATAAAAGTGTACAAGAAAATTGATAGATTTAGAAGAACTTGATTTATCGATGTAATGAATAATCTAATCGTTCATCTGATATATATATATATCCAATCATTTATTTCTCGTTAAAAGGCTGATAATTAAAATCGTGTAAAAGTACAACATAATACACCATCGACATCAGATTATAATTATCGACGATTTTTCAATCATTCAAAGTGATCCGCGAGCTTTCGTTATATCAAACTACGATGATACACGCACTAATCTCTAGAGGCCTGTCATACGGTATACTCGTGTCTTTCGAAACACGGAGAAAATTACTGTTGACGCAGGACTACCGATGGTGTATACTGTATCAAACCGGATATAGCGAAGAGAAGCGGAAGGGACACAGTAGCCAACGCGCGAGAGGAAGAATTGTCTACCGAGCAATCATATAATTCGAGCCATACGAGAATATTCGCGACACTGATTGGCAGCTATTCCCCTGTGCCAGAGAAATTGCTTCTCATAATTTAGCTATTGCATACGATCCGATGGCTAATTTTACGAAGCTCGGATAGAATTGATCGGATAATTGCCTCGAAACGTCGTTAAAAATTTGTCGAATTAAATCATTGTTATTTTTGTTGTTGTTTGTTTATTCGTTAAGTGGATTAGAAATTTTCGTTTGTTAAGGTAGAAATCCTTTTTATTCAGAGTCTTCTCTGAATAATCGATAGTAAGAAATTCTCAGTTATTTAAATGAAACGACGATGGGGTTTTTTTACTTATTATGTATATACTCTATATACCGAATATTGTTTTTTTGATAGATGGGTATATTTCATATAACCATTAGTTTGTTTTAATTGATTAATTTGTTTAAATCGTTCAGTTTTTGCCTGCCTTGCACGATGATATCGTTTAATAATTACAATATTGTATCTGTTTTAGTGAAATCAAGATATTTTCATATATTCGTACCTGATATATTTATTATTCGATTAATTACATGAAGATTGAAAAAGGATATAATTGGAAAAATATATTTTTTGTTACATAGGAAGAAAACAATAGATTTACACGATACGCTACGATGAAGTGACATTCGCAAGTAATAAGAGGAAACATATAAGTAAAACAATATTGAGGGTTGTAAATTAGCTTATTAACGTAGCTTTAATTGTCTGTCATATCAAACTCTGTTAATTTATTTGATTGATGTACATAACACAAAACTAACGGAACTCGCGCTCGACCGCGATACTAGAAATTAATAATTATCGCAAATGCTTGTGTCATTCACAGATTGATTAATTACATCACGTCCGCAACGTGAAAATATATCCACTTAACAAATAAATGACACCAAGGTTAAATGTTTCAGATCATTATCAAATCATTATGTACTTTGTAAACGTAAATTAATTTAAACGATGATCGACATACGTTTCGAATGGCCATTATATTGATTACCTTTTTGCTTTGTTCATGTTTAACGTTATACGAAATAGCAGTTTCTTTCGAGTTCAAATAATTTCTTCCATGGTACGTTCCTCGGCGAAGAAATATACATAGAAACATACAAAAACATACTATTCCATATGTAATCTCGAATTAGTATTCACGTATCGGTGTCAATGATTTTTCAAATACATATAAAAATTCGAATATCACAAACCTTACACAATGATGTAAACTCAAAATATTATATCAAATAACATAAAACATTTCTTTTTTCTTTTTTTGAAAAAACAACGACAAGTGAAACAAATTTTATTGCTAAAATTTTGTATTAACATATTGATGTAAATATCGTATTAGCCATTGTACGATAGAATTTCCAAACTATCAATTTATACTTGTTACGGAATAAATAAAAGGTGGCATAAGTAAGTGGCAATGGGAATCAGAGAATTAACCCTTAAAAACTGAAAAGTATGAAATTTAGCTGCTGACCGATTTTACAAGCCCGCTGTATCTCTTTCAGCGACTATACTTAAGCAAATGAGCCCGACAATAATAGCCGTGGAAAGAATAAACTTAAATTTTTCACCTGGCACCCAACCCGTTCCTGGATAAAACCATCAAAGCGATTTTACCATGTCTCCCGCCTCTACGTCAATGTTTGCGAGGCCGCGGGCGAGAGAGAACTTTTTAATTGGCTACCCTTAATTAGTTAACCAGCAAAGTCTCGGTAATTATTCTGTTTCTCGCTCCGTTTCCGTGCGGCCCGACTGCCCGTCCTCCTCCCATCCGACCTGCTGCTGCTTCATCGCTTTTTCCTCATCCCTCTACACATTCGCAGCCTCCTCCCTTCGTGTTTTCGCTGCGAGTTCTTGCTTCTACGATCTGCAGTCCGACAGAGTTGAGCACCATCCCGTATCAAGCGATCGTACCGCTGCTATTTGCACAACTTCATCGCGAACGGAATGTCAAAATATAGAATGTCGCGTCAGGAAAATGATAAAAAGCTTTCGTTCGAAGGATCATCGAAGTAGAGGGCTGGTAGATTGTTAGTGAATTTCCCAATTCGGCTACAGGCTTGCAGCTTTCATTTTGGTTTAGATCTTGCGAGCCTTTTTAGGTTTAGCTTGGACAACGTCCTTTTTTCTTTTTCTCTTCTTTTAATCAATTTGTATGGGAACTAGACGAATAAGGGGATGGAGATTGGTCAATCGATAGTCGACTTTTGGATACTCTTAACTTACAATATCGTACGAGAGACGTGATACACCATTCAGGCTACAAACACCTACTAATTTTCTTGGCCGCATTCGAACGTGCAGATATATTTTCTTGAAAAATATTAGAAAGCTACCCTTAAAAATGTCTTCAGGAAGAATATTAAGCGCTGTCGATAAATATTTTAGATATAGTGACAGTAACGATATTTTACTTCCTCTATGAAAACGTTGTAAGCGACTGGTTATCGAAGATGATCAATTGGTAGTAATTATTCATGAGACATTTTGTAAAGTAAAATTAATTGTATCTCATACATGCATTTACATATCAAAAGACGTGTGCGATTTGCACAGCTTCGAACGCTCAGCTAAACCGTGAAATGGTTCGACGTGTGGCAGACCTTGTTGTTCTTTATGGTACGCGCTATCTGAACTTAAAGCGTAAAGCAAGGAGATAAACTTGGAGCTTTGTGTATTTAAATCTAGATCGAAAAACATATCTTTAATCTTTGCACTCGAGAGCATTATTACTGTTGGATAACCTGATAGATGCGACGATGTGCGATAGATCGATATCTAGCTTTTGGATTTAAGTCTTCAAATCTAGGATTAGATTTCTTGATGTTGTTAAAATATGTAACTTCGTTGTTGTTGTTGAGTCACTAAGTTTTATTGTATTCAATTTTAATCTGTATTCTATATTTTGATAGCCTGTCACATAGAACACACGATACTCTAACATGTAGTAACTTAATCCAAACTTATATCTTATTTATGGCTCAACGATACTAATTGAAATAGTGTGAAAAAAGATGTGTTTTAAGGAGTATACTGGAAATCTGGAATATATTAATAAATGCATTAACATGAAAAAGTTACTCTAATTTCATCCTTCTCAAAGTCTTCGTTTAATCTTCAAATGTAGCTTTGAAAAAAGTCTGATGTAACTTGCCCTTTCCTAACATAAGAATTAATACCGATATTACAGTCGTTGTTGAAAATGTTCACATCATCTTGATCGTATTATTACAAAGATACATATATTTTTCTTTGTTTCAGAAGGTGGCAGACAGATCGGTCCGCACGCCTGCACAGTTTGTCAAAACATCGTGGAAGGAAATACGCAGAGCAGAGCATTGCCACGAAGTCAAGCGTCACAGTATGGACTACGAGAGGATCAAGTAGCACCTGGTGCACGCGTGTGCAATACCTGTAGATGCAAGGCCGTCAGAGGACGGTACACTGCGTGCCCATTGCCCGGTTGCCCAAATCTGAACAACGCTAGCTCGAAAACGAGGGTGAAGAGGTTGCGAGCTTTACCTGCCAAATGGCTCGATTTACCTGCTGAAATTCGCGATCCAATTATTCAAGAGTTTCGTAAGTATCATATGTATTTCCTTTCAATAGTTAGATAAAAAAATGATTCGATAGAGAAAGTTTATTTTACGAAATAGATATCCAAATTCAAATTCTCCAATAAAAAATATTAATTTCAAAGGAAATTGCATAAAACATATACCAAAATTGGAAGTTTACAGTAATAAATATTTATATTATAAGTTAAGGGTAGAATAGATTTATGTTTCAAAAATATTTATCAATGATATTTATTATTTTGTGATATTTCGCTTTCCAGAAATACCAAGTAGCGCGACGAAATGTTGCTCGGCCTGTTTCAATCGTATATCTCGTCGATTGGCACCGCATCTAACCGGTGGTACTGAAGTGCCCGAGGGCTCAGCCGATTCCCTTGCTCGACAATGGACGGATGAGGAACTGGAACAACTAAGGAGAGCCCTTCGAGAGCACGGTACCAACTGGGTGAAGGTTGCCGAGCAAATATCTGGAAAGACGAACCATCAATGCAAAAATTATTATTTTGCCTATCGAAAGAAGCTAAGTTTAGACCAGGTTGTAGCAGAATATTATCAGTCATTGGGCGAAGAGAGAAGACCTTGTTTAACGGACGAAGAAGAAAGTGGTAGCAGTACGAGTAGCTGTGACGAGTTGGCGGTAAGCTGTTAATTAGTTTCCTTGAAAGAATATTTATAACGATTTTATACAGAAAAGTACATTTTGATGAAGATAAACTATATTTAATAATATTGAATGAAACTGTACTTTAAAGTTGCATCAGAAGAGTTAAAGAAAAATTTTGTAATTTTATTAAACAATGTGCAATTTCCTCTTTCCACAAATTAAATTAAATTATATAAAATTATATCTATAATAATACAAATCTTTGTAGCAATAAAGAAGAAATAAATTCATTATTTTAAAATTTTTTATTTAGGTCCATGATTCGAGCGATACAGCCAGTGCAGGTAGTCCAGCGAACAATTTATCCAGTGGAACACCAGGTACACCGGGTGCCACAGCATCCTCGAATCTGCCAATATCCTATTCGCGATCGACAGACCAGAAGCTTGGTGACAAGTTAGTAGCGGATATCGCTGTGGTATCATTGGTACCTCCGGTGAGCATAGGCCCATCGCAACAGTCTTCCACCAGTGGAAGTAGCAACGCTGCTTCGGCTGGCACTAGAGAAGATTATGATAGTTCTGCCACGGTAAGACCAAGTTTTAATTCGCTTGATGGTTAAAGAGGAAATACTAGAGTAAATTATGTAGCTTGTATGCATTATGTAGCATTCATAAGAGAGAACATTTTAATTGATTGATATTTAGATCAAGCTGATTATTGATATTCGTAGCGAACAAAAGTTTTACTAATTAATTTTCTTTTTATTATCTTATTTTCCTTAAATACATTTAGTTTTCATTTTTCTTCTCATATATTTTTAGGCATTACTTTATATTTTATAAGATTTTTGTATTTTTATTGATTTATTTTAATCAGAATTAATCAAAATTATTTTAATCAATATTTAAATCAAGATTATAATAATAATTTTTATAATTTATTTCTAATAGATTATAATTTTCTTTCGATGTATTATTCTGTACATTGAACATTTCATAGTTTTATAGTACTGAAACAATTAGTCTTACATAATTCAATAAAATTATATCATCAAACTATATACCTGAAAAATAAATTGCATTATCCTACAGCATTAAATGAGTTAAAATGATCTCAATGCTATTTTAGTTCTGTTTTCCTTGTTTTCATAATTAAATATGGAAAGAAGTTTGTCACTTGATAGGGCCGTCTGATAGAGGTTCGCTGATTGTTTCAGGAGACAGCGGACGAAGGTCAGGGAGGTACCGATCTAGAAAATAACAGCGTAGTCGTTACGTTAACAACTGCCAATAATTCCACGACGCTGCAACAACAGCACCAGCAGTCGCATCAACAGGTGCCACCACCTTCACACTCACCACCATCCACCACCAGCAACTCCAATCCTCTCACCGTAAAGGATCTTATGCTTGGCGTTATTGAGATGCAACTGAAACGTAATCCTAACAGTCCAGCTGGTACCGGTGGTTCGTCGATACCAGTCAACTCTGGAACACCAACGATATCGAGTATATTAAAAACGGATCATAGGAACGATATCACCTTTGTAAGAGAATATAAACCGTCAGTCACTATGACAAATGCTAGTATGCCAAGGGACTCGAATTTGGCTACTTTGTCGGTGGTATCTGGTCCTCACCATGGACACCGATCTGCTCCTAGTCCTCAGCAAATTGGTAAGTATTCTTCCTTTTCTTTTTCGTTATGAACGAGTATTTTACCAGTTGTCTTCATTTACTTATCTGTCGTTTGAATTTTCTAATTGTTATACATTTTTATATTAAATTTTTATAAACTATCTAAAAGAAGGAGTTGAAATCTTATATCTACGTTTGTAATCTGTAATCCTATTATCTTTTATTCTTGTGATTTATACAACTTTAATTATTAAATTTTGTAATTATATAATTATTTTCATTACTACAGAAAATAATCGTATACGAAAATTCCTTTATTAGGTCAAATGCAAGCAACTATTACTCCCTGTCCACCGGCGCCATCGAGCAGTCAGTCATCAACATCGGATATACTTCCAAAGGAAGGATTAGTCGTGATGCAAGTACAACAGGCACTACGGGAAAGCACCGAGGGCACCCTAGATCTGAGTATCAAGAAACCAAGGCAGCAACAAGAATACAATCATTCCCTACAAACGCTTCACAAACCACCAACCGTTACACTCTACCGGCCAGAACCTCCACCAGGAGCTTACTATCATCCTCACGCTCACCCAGAACAAGGACGCGGCGCGAAAAGTCCTCTGGTGTATGCGTCGTCACCACGACCTCAAGCACCTCTTACACCTAAGATGAATAAAGTCTCGGTCCCACCGCCGCATCCTAAATTATCACCCAAGTTGGGCGCGATAGGGACAACGAGCCACAAAAGTGGTTCCATTACACATGGTACTCCAGTGTCCACTGCACGTTACGAGGGTCTTCTTAGACAAATGACTCCTCCAGGAAACCCTGGTAACGCCTCTGGAACGCCCAGCGTGCCCAGTGGCGCCAATGCAGTGAACGCTCCCAGCAATCAAGGACCTAAAGAAACGGGATCCATAACTCAAGGAACACCTGTTCATCCTTTCGCGGTGGATAAGCGCGCGCCAATGTACGATTATCACCGCACCATTAGACACTCACCTGTAACGACCGGCAATATTCCTGGCCAAGGTCAGGCCCAACCCGGAACGGCAGCAGTGGTAGTGACTCATAGCAATCAGTATAATTCTTATTCGGGACGACCACCTCCTAGTTACAGCATGGAACAACAGCTATCTTCGAGACAGATAATCATGAACGATTACATAACCAGTCAACAGATGCATGCGCGTAGTCGAAGCGTTGGTACGTCTGAAGGTAGTAGTAAAAACGAAGCACCATCTACGTTGTACTATACCAGCACACCTCCGCCACAGACCCACACGCAGCCTCGACAGGGTGTGATACAGAGGCATAACCCACAAAAACAGATCCATTTTCCGCCGCCACCGGGACTGGAGGCGTTCTCCAGTTTGGTGGATGTTGCTGTACAACAACCAAGTCTTCCGGTTCCCCATCCTCATGGACATCCTGCATCTGGTACCAGCAGTCACGAAGGTCTTGGTAAGACCATGGCAGATAGATTGTTGGCTGATCGTTATGGGGATAAGCATCGTCTAGCCATGCATCAAGATCATAGAATGACTGTAGCTCATCATCATCAGCGTGACAGAGAAAGAGAACGAGATCTGGTTCACCTGCGCGAGAAGGAAGAATATAGACTACAAAGAGAGAAAGAAATTCAACAGGAGCACAGATTGGCTCAGCAGAGGGAGAAAGATGTGCAACATGCTGAACATAGGCTATCGATACAGCAACGAGAGAAAGATATGCAGCATACTGAACATCGTCTTGCCGTCCATCAACAAAGAGAGAAAGAGATTCATCAGCAAATGGCAGCAGCTGCTGCTCAACGTGAGAAAGAACATCAAGAGCATCGTTTGGCTGTGCAACAGCAAAGGGAGAGAGATTTGGTACATTTACAGCAGCAACAGCAACAGCAACAGCAGCAGCTACAACAGCATATTCAACAACAACAGAGGATGGAAGCTGAAAGACGACACATGGCTCAGCTGTACAGAGATCAACAGCAGCAACAGCTTGATAGGGACAGCAGATTAATAAGTACTGGGTTTACTCAATCCTCGAGACTTCAGCAACCACAACAATCCCAACAACAACAACAACAACAACAACAACAATCATCCTCTAGACAAAACCAGTCCTCCAATCAGCAGCAAAACGAGTCAGCATCTACGTTAACTGCTGCCAGTTTGATAGATGCTATTATAACACACCAAATTAATCAGAGTGTCGAGAACACTGGTGGAAATTCTCAACCGCAGCGACCTGGTGATCGTCTTTTCCAGGTAACCGAAAATTTGTTGTGTTAATTCTTGCGTGATGTAATTTCATTTATCAAGTGTTCCTGTAGGTAAATGTGTTTTATATAATAGAAAACTTTTCAGGGATTTCACCGGGAAGCCCCAGTAGAACCAAATGGGATGGCTCATAGTCCTGCCGGCGAGGGGAATGGTGGCAACAACGGAGCTGGGAGCGCAGGTGGCAATGGAAGTGGAAATAAACCGATCACTCTTGGAGAACACGTTGACCATATTGTTTCTAAAGATTATGGTCCACCACATTCCTCATATCGATCGTACAGCGGGTGAGTTTCGAATGTAGTTTACTATATTTTTCATAACTCGTTACTCTAATTCCTTCAAATAAATATTATATACCGTTTACGTAAATAAAATTATATAAATAAAAATAAGGAAAGATAACTATTATGCAGATTCTTATTATAAAATGTTTCCTGATCAAATAGGTATCAAATCTCGGAAGATCAGTGGAAGAGGCGAAAAACTAGCGAACCCGATTCCGTTAAAGCCGGAGACGAGCGTCAGATAATTCGAGTCACGCAGCAACAATCACAACAGCAGCAGCAACAGCAACAGCAGCAGCAGCAGCATCAACATCAACACCAGCACCAACACCAGCATCAGCAACCAGCATCATCAGTAGGAAAACAATTCCACTCGGTCGAACCTGTTTCGCCACCAGAACCAGGTACCAATCATTACGGTCGTCGCCTGTATGAAACAACCACTGCCACATCAACTTCCGGAACTCCTTCCAATAAGCCGCACCTTTCACCTTTGGATTACGTTAAGAACAAGATCGTTGAAGTGATGCGTACATCGGAGGACGACAAAGGAGGTAGCGTAGCTGACAGAAACGGAGGAAACGTAACGAGCGGAGAAAAGGACGACAAAATCGGAGGGAACGTGGAAAGCCCCTCGAGTGGAGAAATGATGGTCGACGAGACTCCGAATCAAACTCCTCAACCACCAGCACCGGCACCTACTACCACCTTTTATCCATTCAGCGCTTTAGGCGTTCACACTGGCCCGCCGCCAGCGCCACCACCCCCGACTTCCGGATCAGCCTCTGTGACAAAATCTGAGCAAATGCAAGCCGAGCCGGCACCATTGCTTTCTGCGCAGTACGAACCACTTTCTGACGAGGATTGATAGTCTAATAATTTAGGAACGTGTACAGCAATCTGTACTGATCGACGCTCTGAGAATATTCTTAGGGTATTTATGTGGTTTGTTTATCCTGGATGAAAATCATATCCAGAGTTTGATGATGAATGTTGAATATCTGACAATTACCAATATCTTTTCTCGGGCGTTAGCCACTGCGTTCTAACTGGTCGTGTCCAATAGTTCTTCTCAAATGATAAACAAGTCAAAGGACCTTTTCTCTTATTTCGTTCCGTTTCGTTCCGTTTTTTCATTTCCATTCTCTTTTTTTCTTTTCCTTTTTTTAACATGAACTCTATCATATTCCGCAAATAGAGATTATAGTACGATGTTTTTATATATATGAATAGAGTTTATTTTATAAATTTCATATTCCGTCAGTGTATTCTTTTAGTCGAGGATCGTTTCCGTACTCTCTGTGTACATGTAAATGCGGTTGTTTTACGGAAACGTTATTATTTTTTTAATACTCGTCCCAACGCACGAGAAACGATAACAGCGTAATTTTAATTAATAATTGATATTTTTTTACGCATTACTTATTCTCCGCGCTAATCTGTACGTAAACGTTGTGTATAATTATCAGCTAGATTAAATATAATTATTTCTGTTTTCACCGCCACTTCTTTTTGTTTTTTATAAAAACGCTATGATTTTTTTATGATATCATTCGCTTCTAACTTATACTAGTTAGTTATACAAAACGAGGATTTTTTAATTTCAAAACGGCACAGAGGAATCTATAGAGATGTAAAATTATTAAATCTTCTGTAATACACATATCGTCGTGATATTTAATTTTTTTATTGAATTTGAAAAAAAATATAAGAATAGCGTGTAGTGAAATTTTGGCCAAAAGCGAAAATTGTTTTTAATGCTCATAAAAGCTTTTGAGTAGTGTTCAGTCGTCTTTCTACACGTAATTTTGCGTCTAATTATAGAAAGAAAGTGTGCATCGTACGCAAGTATTCGATCCTTTCCAGAACAAGACTATCAACAAAGATTAAGCGAATAGAATCGACCTGTAGAACGTCCAGGCTAGCCCAAGTTCACAATGGAGACGCTTTTTTGTACATAATGAATGATATATAATCGTTAAACGACGATACAACGTTAGAAAGGCATACGTGTTTTTATTTGGAATGAATCTGTGATGTGTTTGGGAGTATAAAAAAATAGCTTCATCTGTTAATACCAGTGCGAAGAGATCGTAGCCTCAAATTTTGACGAAAAGTCAATATGGCGGACGTGTAAGGACATATAAAATGCATCCTCGCACAGGTTGACGGTGTACTGTCTTATCGAGATCATATTTAAATGTTCTCTTCTTGGTGAAGTGGGTTTTAAACAAAACAACAAAAAAAGTGTAATTCTAAGTGTTGTACATAGTACACAATATTAATTTCTAAGTTGAACAAGTAGGTATATGATGGCTAGTTTAATCGTATGCTATATTGTAAGAATCTAGATTTAGCGTAAGTGATGTAGCTAGCATTTAGGGATTAGACGCCATGAACTGACTAGGGAAAGAACTTCCCGAACTACTTCTCTTATTAATAATAAAAAGAAGAAGAAGAAGAAAGAAAGAAAGAAAACGTATACAGGCGATTATAAATGATCAATGGGAAGAATGATCATCCGTCACATGCAAGCGAATGGATGTGAATTTTATTTTATTTGATTGAAATTATAGAACCTGTACGCTCTGACTATCAAACAAACAAGAAAAATACATTACGCAGTTATACACGTTGCAAAACACAAGTTACATTTTCACTTACTCAAATAAATACATATACATGCATACATACATCGGTGAAGACACGTGTAACACATAAAGAATTTTTATATAGCCTAATTTTATATTTGTATGCAAACGTAAGTTGAACCGTGCGGTCTGCTCCTTCATTTAGTCACGCGACACTCGAAACGAGAACCTTAGTCCCCTTGTCATAAGAAAAATATTGCTTTTTATTGCAAATATCTCCTGCACGGGAAATCACTTCTACCAAACGAGTATATATACATATATGTATACATACATACATAACACACATACGTATGTATGTATGTATATGCTTATTATATACATACATTTAATATATATGTATATTCCTTCGTACTTTATTTCTTTACACACTTTTTTATAATCAAGCTCATGAAAGCTCTCGAGAAAAAAAAGCATTCAGTCGGATAATGCGAGTGCCTCTATACATTTGTGCGAACTATTTTTACCAAAATGTAAACATAGATTTCGTTGTCTCTACATTGTGGGTCGCGGTAACATCATCTTCGTTTCGCTTTATATGTTTACATCGTTTTGTTTCCGCGAGGATCATATCGGAGGAGTATCCAATATTATATGTACATACTGCACACGCGTGAAATATTTGTTCGATAAAGAATGTTCGAACTATAACGTCGGTGAAATAGAGTTCGTTTGCATCTATATATATATATATATATATAGATGATATATATATATATATATGTATGTGTGTATGTATGTATGTATGTATGTATGTTGCGACACATGATCGTTTCAGTGAAGCAGACAATGTCCAAAAAGGGAAAAAATGGAACAGATGTCTCGAGACCAATGTTATGAACGAAAAACAAAGATCTTACAAAGCCTCCTTGACACGATCACGAGTTGATAAAATAATGATTTTAAAATTCAAAGACTTCTATGTGTTGACTTTTCTTCGACGTTTTTTTTCTAGCGATTTTACTTTTCTTGAAAATGAAAAAAGGAACGAAAGGAAAAGTTTAGCTTTTCCTATAGGCGTTCGTATTAAACTTTAACACAGGAAATACTCCTTACAAACGAATAGCAACGGTGGTATCGGGACACTTCAGGATTGCGAATTCGTCGTTTACCTCTCGCGAGTTACATGTTACCGTCTATAGAAAAAAAAGAGGAAGAGTGAAAGAACGAGAGAGAGAGAGTGAAAGAACGAAAGAGAGAGAGAGAGAGTGTGTGTGTGTGCGTGTGTGTATGCAACACAAGATCGTTTGATAAAACCGTGTCTGTAAATAAACGAACTTATTAACCTTCGCTTCGCCAGTGGTCTCATGTTAAGGATTCTTAGTATCTTTTCAACTTGCGACTTCGAAAAAAAGAGAACTTCTGCGTTCTATGCCGCAATTTTTACATATTTTTAAACGACAACGTAAAAAGGAGTCTTTAAAGATCTCGGATGTTAAGGAAACACGTGATCATCGATGCATCCATGCCGACACACTGTCCTTTCTCATGCTGTTGTGATTATAGTAATATCGCGTCATTCGAATGAATTATATTACGTTTAGTTGGTAACACAGTATCAAATTATGGTCACCATCATTATTATCTTTATCTCTACAATTACCATTACAATTATAATATCCCGTCATATTGATTAATCCTGCAATAGCATTTTGTTTTTTGGGGTTATCGAAAGCGGCAATCTTCGCGAATGTAATTCCAATGATTTGCATAAATTGATATTCTGCGATCTATAAATCAGTGTAACAGATTTTTACCCTTCTTATTTGGGCAAAACTCGCATCATTTCCTTTTTTCCAATTTAATTAACTCAAGTTATTGACTTTCATTGACATTCAAAGAGTCATGTAAGATATTCGATTATTTCTTGCAAATCCAAATGTAACATCACTATACATAAAGCCAATGTATATCTTTTTCGTAGAAATTGTTTCTTATATTTCTGTCATGTCATATAGACCTTTCACTTCAGAAACTGGGATCTTTTATGTCCTATACTAACCTGGATCTTTTACTGTTAACGATGTGCCACTGCAGGATTAATATTGTTCTGTTCGATCGTAGAATCGTGAATGTCAAACAGAACGGGATATAAATCAGAAATTTCTCTCAGCGTGTGATAGTAATTTAAAATACTGTTCTGTTCAACGCATATAACGTAAAAACGATATTCAAAATGAAATGCGTTAAAAGATGTCAATCAGAGATCATCTTCTCAGTATTATTCGGATAATCTGCCCTGGGCGCAAGAAGGTATTCATGAGAAAAATTAAAATGACAATATACAGGGTGTCCGAGTCTTTTCCAGGCAAATTTTATCAGAATGTTCTATAGATATAAATAAGAAAAAGATATTATACAAATATAAGTCGTTCGAAGCTTTATTAAAATGTAATAATAAAGATGAAAAATATAAAAAAACAATACGTAAAAGTTAGATCACCAGTATCGGCTGACTTCACACGTCCATACTTTCATGCGTGAATAACCTTAGAAGAAAATACTTATATTAAACAATTATTAATATATGTGAACGAATACAAAGATTTAATTAATTCACTGAGATTGACTTCGTAGATAATTTTAAATTGGGATAGTAACACTTAATGATTACATTAATTGTGAACTTATCCTTGTCTTATAACATAGTACATTCAAATCAGCTTCTTGATATTTTTCAATAAAGCTTCGAGCGACCTATATCTACGTAACATCCTTTTCTTATGTACACCTAACAAACTATGACCAGAAGAAATTAGAATACCCTGTATAAACATGTGTACACTATATAAATTCACGCGAGGAAAAACAACATGGGAATTCTGCAGCTTCGCATGAGATATACAGAGCATTTATTTTAGCCAATGGTAAGGCGATTCACAATCAACATAAATCGTATTATTACGGAGCTTTACATTCGTCGTAACATCAAAGAAATAAACAGCAGAAAAGAACAAAAAGATAAGAGTAAATTTTAAATTATACAAAATCGGAGTCCTGAAGAATACCGTGTTTAAATGCTTCCAATAAATTAAACAAATAAAAAACAAAAGATAACATATAGAGAATGGAATATTAGGACGAAACAAATACATAAACGGAAAAGTATACCTAGTGTGAACGACAGCAATTTCTAAACCGTGATCCGATTGTACTTTTCGAAGAGTGCCCTTGGCGTTTCTCTGCTTTCTTTCTGCTGCATTAACGTAGATTGTCGTAGGTCGTAGGTGATCGAACGCTTTTACTTTTCTCGCTCGCCGCCTTATCGAACTTCATCATCAATAGCTCCATGTCTTCGGCCGTAATACGAAACTTATGAAATATACATATTGAGTATGTATAATCACCAAATTAATACACACAGAATTATATGTGTCTCTCAGAAACTACGTTGGTCAACTTCATACATGAAAAGATAAAAAAAAGTGGTAGAGAAATGTATATACCTTGCTTATTTTATGATTATTTATGTTATATTCTTGCAGTGTACGAATAAAAAAATAAACTGACGAATGTAAGTCACTTTTTTTAATCAAGCTAGATGCTAATCACGTTCTCAGAGAATGCAATTCTAGAATTTGATGAAAAATGGTGTTGATCAATTTGGCTCCTGAGAGCCAAATATATATGTGTACCGGAAAAATTTTTGTGAACTCTCTTTGATCTATGCGTCGATCTTTGTACATACGTACAAACACGACTCGACATTGTGCAATTGTGTGTAAAAATATTTTCAAGATTAACACTTGCTCAGATCGAACTCTCGAGCGATACTCTCGGATATTAATAGCGGAATCGAATGTCCTATATTAGAGTTGAAGTTAGAAAGTGGAGTACGACAATGGCAATCCTCTTTTTTAGATACTTCGCAACATCGCAAGACAAAGTCAAGTGAAAATAAATATACATACATGAGAAAACACACAGACACGATAAAAGAGAACAAAAAAGATGAAAACTAATATTATCGTTGACATGGCAGGTAAATCACATCTAGACTATTCTATAGACTAGAAACGACGTAAGATATCGATAAGACATCGTGTGTATGTACCTATAATCGTTTGCAACCTGAAGGGACATCTATCGATTGATGATTCCTTTCACATAAGGAAATCTGTACATAGGTAAAAGAGAGAAAGTAGATGGAATGAGGTAAAGAACACGCCGAGGTACTCAGCTCCATCCTAAGCAAAAAATATTGTACCATAATAATAATAATGATGATGATGATGACGATGATAATGCTTATGATGCGGTTGCGCGGAATGCGAGAAGCTAATAAGAAGATAAAAGAGTAAATGAAACGAGATTTAAACAAAAAGGAAGAGGAAGAAAAAGCAAAAAAAAAAAAAAAGAAAAAAAGGAGAAAAGAGAAGTGAAATAATAACATTAAAATAAACAAAAGAAGAAAGGCTAAGAAGCGATATTACCTACGAACCCGCTATTAATGCGATTAATTCAAATAAATTAACTACAATTAATAGCGAGCGAGAGCATACCACGCCTACAGTAAACTACAGGTGTAGCATACACGATAATATTATTATCAAGACAGTTCAATGTAAATTGTTATTTTTGTTGAAATAAAAATCACCTCCGTTATAATAACGATCACCCCTTTTGACTCTTGTCTCTGTGAACACTTTATTATAGTTTTTATTGTGGCCAATTATGGATATACAGAGCGTACATGAGTCTCTTTTTTTTTAAGACGCGCACAGCGCCGTATGAAATTTAAAGTTCCTGATAGATTAATATAAAACTGAAATTTAAGGATTAAATTCACAAATTACATATATCGAAATATTTAATTAGAAAGAATAGCCTGGGTTATGTCAAATTTATTTTTACTCTACGATTCATTGTTCCTTCGTTTTATTTTCATGTTAGGTAAGGAGGATGAAAAAGGGTACATATTTATTTTTGGTGGGTCAGAAATTGGTGACTCATGTGACAGGAAACGTGTTAACGATTAGTAAATTTCAAAGGAAGCTTCAAACTGATTTCGATATCTAATAAGTATTTTTCTTTTGAAATAGATAAAAATATATATGATAATTTAATTATACAGTTAATCATTTATGTACATAAGTAGAATCTAACGATATGTCGTTCTTTTTTTTTATTGATAAATATAATACTTGACTGAAAAAATATATGCATATATAGGAAATGATCGTACCTGTCCAAAATAATGGTACTTATTATTAAGATAGAAACTGTTTATCGAACGAATGAGGAAACTTAACGATTATCTGTATTTTAATGTCGAAATAGTATCTAAAGCGATGGTTGATTTAGGATTTACTCTATTCTATTTTATACAGAATGCGTGCAAAATATGCAAGTAATATGAACAAAATGTTTCTTTGTCCCCGCATCGAGTTTAATTATTTTAGGTTAAATATTTAGTGTCGCTCATAATTAATTTTGTAATAAGAAATTTATATTCTAATTTTATAATGAATCTAACTATTATTCGACGATTTAACAATTTTAATTTACAATAACGAATGACAAAGTAATAAAACATAAATTAATTAAAAATTTAATTAAAGCAATTCGACACATATCTATTAAATTGCAACATTAATATAATTTGTATAAATACTAAGAATAGACTCTACTTGACAATCTTTTCTACTGTCCCATTTCATTATTATTGCTAAAATTAGTTGGTATTCTTTTTTTTTAAATAATGATTCCCTTCTTCAGATAAATAGTTTTGCTATATAATATTTACAGTGCATACAATATCTACATTATCATTAAGTTACTATATCATTTTGTAATGCTAAAAAATAAAAATAAAAAACATATATTTCCCATTAAAAAATACAGTTCTCCCATTTCTGTTTATTTTTAAAATTATTTGACTAATTATGAGCGATACTATACGCAAATAATTATTGATTTTATATAGTAGCACAAACACGCATTTTTTAATTTAACATTTCATATTTATTATAAAACTTACATACACAAGATAATACATAAGAAGCACTTACATGCGAAGAATCATCTAAATACGATTAACGAATAAAGTTGAGGTTCTTTGATAAATTTTTCTTTATTCAGTCAATCAAAATTTTCTTTATTCGCTCAAGTTCGTTTTAAAATAATTTTTGTTCAGTTTCTCTCGATTTTCTGTCGGATTACCCTGTCTATTAAGATCATTACAACTATCATGTAACATACATTTTTGAAACAACAACTTCACTTCAATTATCGTATTAATTACGTCTTTTACAATGAAGCTCTTAAACTAATAGTTTAGTTTCATGTTTTGCATTTTCATTATATGTATTTCGTTACTCTCGAGAGCAGTCTAATTTTAAATCGGTTATCTTAATATGAAAGTACAAAAATGAAGGACTTATATTATCCTTAACTTTCATTGGATTGTAAGCTGTGTTCCCTTCTTGTGCGTATTTCATATATTTGAATCTTAAAGATATGATTAGTATTTATGTGATAAAAACAAAAGAAGAATGAAAAAAATAAATAAAGATTTTATTTGGTGAGAATAAAAAAATTAATATACTTGCATTTTCCTTGCATATACTGATATTAACAATTAACTTAATTAGTAACAAAACATAATAGATATACTTGTGCATGACAAACCTGAATAATTATTAAAATTGCTTTAAATTGAAATATACTTTCAAATGATTGTACCTCATGATTCACGGGTATCTTTTAAAATATACTTTTATGATTTTGATATATTGCCAAAATTTAAGATAATTACTGTTGAATTAAAAATTTTGTAATATTTTAAGTGTGACTTTATGAAAGTTGTGTAATATTTCATTATGAACAGAGTAGTTAAAATTAAATCTCAATATGTTTATTTTCCTGATAAAATTAAAATAGTGCGTTTTTAAATAAATGATAATGTTAAAACAGTGCTATTTTTTATATACACCTCAGACTTAGATTTCATTTTATACTTACAAGGCACTAGTAATTTTTTATTTTCTATTGTTGTTATATTTTTGTCAAGTTTTTATCTATATTGAAACGAATAATTTTACTATTTTAGCAGCCAAAACATAGATTTTGCAAATAAAAATTTCAAGTTTATGAAGGTCTTTATACATCTTACACATATATGTGGACAAATTTGTTCTGTAACATTAGTTTAGTAGTTTGCAAATCAGGTACATGACATAGTGAATTATAAATACATGATATAATAAAGCACGGAAACTTATTACATAAAAATTACCGTAGAAGAGAAACGTTCCATAATAGTATATATGTATATAAATATATATACCAGTAATACTTTAATATTTTACATATATTATAATAATAAAATTTATTTTTTCCAAATTAAATACTAATCAAATATTATTCTAATATGTGCTCAAATATTTAAAACAACGCACTATAAAATTATCATATTGCAATTATCACTTTAGGATATAGCATTTGTAACATTTATATCTTATCATTATATTTTATAGCATTTAATATTTTATCTTTGAACGATTATCATTTAACGTATTTAATTTATTATTATAAAAATAATTGCTTTTATTATACTTTTAGAGACAATGAAATAGCAAAAAAGTTATATTACATTTTTTTACCATTAACGCGGAATATTATCGAGTATAAAATTATTTGTCATTACGATATGTAATAGCTATTTCTCCTGTGCAAAATATAGAGACCTTCTATATCACAGTATGCAATATATTAATGTTCAGTTTAGATATATACAAGTGCACTGAAATTTGCACCTTATTTATCTAACTGGTATTGTAGAAAAAGTTTTACTTGTCTCTACTTACATAGTGGCAAGATTACAAATTTCGACTGCGTTAGAAAACGCAGCAGCATTAAGAGTAACTAATCATAATAAGACGTATACAAAATATTCCATAAAATGGCGGCTGTCATAAGTACAGTGTAAGTAATAATACTGGCCCACCACACGACTTTTTCCCAAGTTTTTACTTCAAGATTACGAAGTACATTTATACCTACGAGCAAACCCGCAATGGCACCAGCAAAGTGAGCAACATATCCAACTTGGTCATTGGTTTCTAACACGTAACGGTTATATATTGCTTGACTAATGTCAACAACTGTTACAATAAGGAATACTAACAATTGTAAAACAGCAAATTCCATTTGCGACCAGTTCATTAATATAGTTGCCACATGAGCTGTAATTAATGCATATACACCACCTGATGCTCCTGCTAAATATACTGTAGGATCCGATACAGAGGTACCAAGAGATCCTGCTACGACACCTGCTATATATATAGTTAATACTCTCCACCATTTGTGTACCATCTCCAGTGGAATACCCAGCATTATTTGCACAAGTAGGTTTACTACTAAATGAAATACTCTGTATAAAGAAAAGTACATATATTTTAATTATTTAATCATATAAATAGTTATCTGTAGAATAAGAAAAATACATACCCCACATGTACAAACATATATGTTAAATACCTCCATGCTTGGTATCTTTTGTGTGGATTATAAATAAATAATGTAGCTGCTGGTCCTTCGACTGAAGGTGATTTATATACAATTACATCGTATAAAAATAAAGTAATTTCTAGTATAGATATAATTATCATTGCTAGTGCTGGAGGTTTACAACTATATTCTTCTTCATACTGCCCATCAGGTATGTCACTAGACCTTGCTAGACCTTCAAAAGGAGATGGTCTTTGTGGAACCATAGATTGTACATATCGTTGCACAAGATGACCAAAAACACCTTGCATATCTTTTCTATGAATCTAAAGAAGGATATAGAATTTGTTTATTAGTTTCACACTGAATAATAAAAAATATTATGGTGAAGTAATCTAAGAGAGATAAAATAGATCCTATAATTGTATAAATTCAATTGACCTGGTAATCAACAGATGATTATTGATCTATTAAAAAATAGTCCTTTATCAATATCTTTATTTTTTCAATAATGATAAAAGTAATAATATATAGAATAAAGTACATAAATAAGCATTATTCTATGGTAAGAACACAATTGCAGATAAAGTAAAATTATAATAAAAGTAATAGTAATAGAGATAAAAATACCATAGCTATAAATTCTGGATAATCTAGATATCCAGAATCATCTAGATCTGCTTTATGCATTATTATATGGACAACCCTGGTTGGAATATCATTAGAGTAACTAGAACTGCGTATCATAGCTCGCAATTCTTGATACGAGATTTTTCCATCTCCATCAAGATCATATTTTTCAAATATAGATTTCCAATGCTGAAAACATTGAAATTATTGCAATATATAAAAAGCTATACCGTTTATCAAATTTATAATATATAATGTTTATACAGGTTATGGGACACTTATAATGAAAAGTATGCATAGAAAAGATAAACTCTTACAGAATTATTATACTGCAATGGTATTGTTATACCAGACTCTCCTTCTTGATTACTTGACATTCTTATTAATTTGAAACCTCTGCAACACAAAATAAAACCTAATGTAAATAAATATACGATACAATAAATATTATATGACTTAATCTCATTATTCTTATCCTAAAAAAAAACAAATTAATCCTTTCAAAAAGGTGAAGTAGTATAACTTATTGAAATTACTATAAAAAATATACTTTACATTTTATACTTGATAAAGGAAAGAATATATATGTACATTTAAATTCTTTTCATACCTGTATCCGATTAATTTGTCAAATTTGTACATTTGTTAAATTGCATATCAAACGTACGAATGACACAAGTTATGTCTACTTCTACGGCACACGATCTACTACATTCTTTAGCTATTACGGAGAAATTTATTTTACACATTATTTATACGAATGATACACAATTATTTTATCTTATCGGATCGATGCATTATCCGGAATATAGACAGAGAAGATTTATGTATTGTGTAGTAGACGATTGAGATACATGTACGGTTCTACATGTATTCTATGTATCCGCGTGATGTATATTGTACATGGACATTGATTTATTCAAGCATCTTTGATTTTTTCAAGAAATACCATTAATCTTAATACCTCTGCAATCGACAAGAATTTTAATCGTCTGTCAGATAGCTTAGTTTATCTTCGAACCAAATTTCCCATTACTATGATCGGTTAGTATTATATGTACACAGTACGAAGACTCGTATCTCATCAGGTATAACAGGACACGTTTTGAAAAGACTATACGGTTGAAAGTCGCCAGCGTCGCAACTCGCAACAGGTGAACTTAAAGCGGTCCAAGCATCGCACAAATAGAAAGTACCGTAAGATGTTCTACTGTGTGGCAGAATGTTGTAATTATTTCTTTATTGACATAACAGAACAGTTCTACCTGTTTGTATAGTTAGATAAAATAAAATTCTTATTAATAATAAAGTTAAAAATCTAATTCCTAATATAGCAATTTCTAATTTCTTTCTTTTTCCCTATAATAATTTGGATAATTGATTAAAATAAATGTTAATGATGATTGAAATTACAAAAAATTCCTTATTGATAATAACATTAAAAGTGGAGATAGTAATTAAAATCTAATATTATTGTAAGATAATAAAAAGTTGTAATTCACCGGTATACTAACAAGAATACATATCTTCATTGATGATTCATACAGTTTTCTTAGTGAATCATAAAATTCGTGTGTATGTAAGTACGCTAGATAGCTCACATACGTATGTATATTGTTTAGCTTTACTTTCATCAAAAAATTAATGAAGTCTGGAGCGACATTTGGTACTTTGTTACCAGCAAGTGATTAAAATAGAATATAACATTAGAGTATTTATGAAAGAATTGTGAGAGATTTATATAAATAGGATTACATAGATCAAAATGCTCGTGAAATATTAAAAAAATTCAGATTATCCGTTCAGTATTACTCTCTTAAAATTATTATAATTATATGTTATTAATATTACTTATATCATTAAAAAAGAATTATTTATTATTACATTATTAGAATAATATAATATAAATACACTTTTATTTCATTTTTTACAAAAAATTATCTGCAATTAAAAATCTTAATACATGCTATTGAAAATTAATATTCTATGGATACAATATTCTATATATGTATATACATGTAGGTATATACAGATAACTTTCTTGATATTTAATCACTCGCGAAAGATGTGTATGAAATATTGCTGTGTTTATTACATGTCCCGCCTTATAAAAAGCTGACTCAACAGGATGTAAGGTTTTTACAACTACATTTTATTTCTATGTCAAAAGAAATTCGCCACAATCATACGTAAGAGGGTACAGACAACATAAAACGTAAGTACTCAGCTGTGTATGTATATATTCGTGTTGTCAGACCCGTTACCAAGCAACAGAGGAATCGATATACAATATTTCGTATGCGATTGTCGGTACCTTGTTCTCGTCAGTTAGCTCTTTTTTCTCATACCCAAATGTTCTTTTATTTCAAATCGATTTCTTATCAAGTGATCGATATACTTCGGAGTAAAAACAAAAAATGGCATATAAGATACGGAAGCAAAAAATTGCCGTCAATTACAAAGTTAAAGAACCTATAAGCAACTTTAAAATAAGGTAACATTTTGAATCTTCATCTTTCGTTATGATAAAAAAATTTTACAAATGTCAACGTTCATAAGATTATTATTTTTCACTATTATTGTCTGTTTATTATTCCTTTCTATTATTATCTCTTTCTTGGTCAGTTCCAATGTATTGTTTAAAATGTATAATTAACCCTGAAATGGTATACATACTACTTTTCTTAGACTATTAAATAGCACACGAGGTCTCTTGTGCATTGAAATACAGCCCACATTGTGTCATCTATGTTATATGTCAGTAAAAAGATTATTTTATAAAGAAGGAGGAGGACTATGTAAAATAAATCACTATCTATTTCCATACAAAATTTTGCTAAGACCGTGAAAGAGTCTGGCATGCTATTGCAAGATTAATTCTGATCGCCCAAATTGAAAACAACGCGACTGTTCTGCCGCCGAAACTGGTACCAGACATGTCGATAGAATTAGATCCTGGCCATCTGGCAGAGATTGTTTCTACATTCTAAATTGTATTTATCTTCCGTGTGTTTATTGTTTCAGAGTCAAAATCGTGCAGCAAAGGCCTTTGCTTGCAGAACTGCTCGAAAACGAAGGGGATACCAGGGACTCGAATTTTCTTAAAGAGGAGGATCGTATTTTTAACTGGCAGGAAAAAGTATTTAGTCCATTCGAACTAAGTTTTTACAGTGAAGAAACGAATTGTCTGACTGAATGTCAGAAAGCATATTACAGACAAATCAAAGAGAAGAATATCGAGGGTTCTCATCTTTATACCTACACACAAAATGATTCTTATTATCTGGGTGACGAATTGTTAACGAAACCTTATAAGACAAAATTGGCAATTAAAAACCAAACTGCATTGCCGGCTTTGCAAAATCGTAAACCTTTCCCTGAAAGGTATAATAAAGCGGTTATTGATGATGCACCTGACGAAACAAGGATTCGAACGAATCATTATCTTTACATGGAGCGTTCTACAATGTATGTCATGGTTGACTTATCTGAACGAGATAAAATCTTAACATGCTCCGACGAGAATACGGAAATAGTGCTGTTCACGATTACGTATAATGAATTGCATAAAATTCTGACGGTAAATCCCGACTTCACAAACGACCATTATTACACTATCACGAATTCCAGCGGCATTCAATTTAATTATTGGCTCGAGCATGTTTCCGAGAAACAATCGTCATTGGAATTACAGCAACAACAAAATGAATCGCGAAAAGTGAGTATGTATATGTATATAAAATGCATGATCAGATTTTTCCATGGTAAACCGGTTTAAACATGTTTGCATAATTAAATGCTGCCTTCTTTAGTTTTTTGTATACCTTTAATTTAAGTTGAAGGTGAAAGTTATTATTACATTTTTAATCTAGTGTTACAAGTAAAATATTTAGGACTAAATCAATTGAAGATTTGATTACATTAATTCAAATCTTTCACTGTAAATTGGTTTGAACGTTTTAAAATATTTCTATTTAATTCTGTTTGCATATTTACATACGGTCTTTTCTATTGTTTCCAAGTTAAAAATTTTATTAATAATTTTTCTAATTTTAATTATGTGACAATATTATATTATAAAATATATACATACCCAACATAGGAGATTTCAGAGATTTGTCTCATCATTCTTTGAGGATAAAACATAATTCTTGAATTCAGCGAAAATTAATCATTAACACAACAGTTATAATCTTTTATAACTAAACATATGACACACTAAACTAATTTTAGTTGTTTTATTTTACATTTGGTTAAAACATACTCGGGAAATGTGATTATCTTCATATTTAATTTTGTATTTTCGATCATTTTACTACAATACAATCAAAACTTATTAATTACTTAGAATATATGAAATACGTGGGAACGATGAAGTACATTCACCGGCGTAGTCTCAAACTCAACTGAATCTTATGGCAGTGAATGGCTCCTTGAATACGTTCACACTATCGATTCTCCTCCGTATACATTTATGAATACATACATATATCTATATGTTTATATGTACACGGTCGAGCAGTATATATTGTTATTTAAACGGAAAAGCAACTTTCACACAGTTTCGGATTATCACGATAATGTATTATCGTAGTGTATTATTTAAGATATTATCCTGTTATATGTAAAAAACATATATTTTTTATGATAAAATTATTTGAGAAATAATTAAAGGCATTATAAAAATGTTTCAAAATATCATACTTATTCATTTTTTAATAATATATACAAAGTAACCAGATAATGTTTTGATTTTTATATTTTAGGAAATTAAAGAACATCTGATGTACAAAGAAGCAGAAGTATTTCACAGCTTTCAGTTAGCATCACCAAATGTATATAAATTTTTTATAAAATTGGACATTTTATCAGCTCATGGTTTCTTTTTTAATGGACTTTGCATTTCTTACTATGTTGATTTGCCAGAACATTGGGGCACAAGTCAAGTTGATAGATTGTATGGAAGAACTCAAAGATGTAATTTAAAGAATAACTCTGCGTATTTTAGTTATGCCTCTGAAATATCATTAGATTTTCAATCTGCGGCTATGCTTCATGCAAACAGTATTTTACCATCTTGGCCTCGATTATTGCTATCAGTTACATCACTTGACAACTGGTTTAGGTAAATTAAATATAAAAATTTTTATACTTTGCATAATAAAAAAATTAAATTTAACAATTAAAAACTTCAGATATCGTACAGAAGGTTATGCTGTTATTCCTTTGCCTGTATTACCTGGTTCATATAAATTCAATATCCCAACTTGGCGACCAACAGGAAGTATTATCAACACCCTTAGAAGATTTTTTACAGGTGGTACTTATGAATTGGAAGACATAACTCACTGTAGTATCCCAAAAGGACATGAAGATAAAATGTTAAATAAGTCATACTTAAATGTTACACCAAGTGGTTACATTAAGTTAAATATGGATATCATCCATCAAACTCATGGCTCAATTAAACAAGATGACCACTTAAATTATTTTCAGAGATTGAGCACAGATAAACTTATGACTAATATAGACAATATTTTTGAACAGTTCAAAGCAGCCAGAGAACGTATGTTACAAATAAAAAATTTAAACATTTAATTATGTAAATTTAAATGATTAATAAGCTATAAAAAGTGATCTGTGATGTATTGTAAATACTAGATAAAGGATAATCTGTAATGCATAATATTTGAAAATAAACATTTTTTAATACATTTGTAAAATGGTGTAGAATATCATAATTTCTTCCAATAATTATTATATATCAGTTTAAATGTAATATCAGGATATTTATTTTTAACCTACAAATATATTTTGTCATATATTGATTGATGTAGTTAAGAATTGCTTTAGATTCATAGTACACAATATTTGAATTATTTCTTCCATATGTTTTTAAATAATAATACACAAAAGGAAAGATAATAAAATAATTACAAATATATACATTCAATACAACTGGTGAATATGCAAAATTATAGATAAATATTTATTTTATAAAAACGTAAAAGTTTATTAACATTCACCAAAATGTACTTTAGTCTTTTCCTTCTTTTTTAATTTTTCAATAGCCATTTATAAAATATTCCTACCAATTCTTACCAATTATAACTTATACCAAGTTATGTAATATAATATGTGGTATATATTTATTTTGTTGCATTAAAATAACATTATAGAATTCTCTGTTACCTGTTTTCAAATGTAACAATACTACATGAAAATTAAAAAAGTGAGAAGAGTTTAACATTTTTTCTAGAAATCTGATTAACAATTAAAAGACTAGAGCAAAAGTGCAAACATACATTCTATAAGCATTTTAATCATTGTCTCTTTTTTGCAGCTTTTACTGCTTTTGCTTTTTGTTTCTCCCCACCAGATAAGAATGATGTTATTACTTCAGACATTTCTGGCATATTGTAATTGGTGAAATTATTTAATTGCTCCATCTCCTGAAAAATACAGAAGTAATATACAAATTGTAAATTTAACATTGTACAATAAAACTTATAAAATTATATTATTGAAGTTATTTACCAACCTTTCTAGTTTCCGGGTCATTCATGATTTTTGGTATAATCATAATTAGCAATAACGGTAATATCATCATTAAAACCTATAAAGATATAAAAAATGATAAATTGAATTTCTTTTCTACATAAATGTAAATTTATGTGTGTAATAGTATTCATACCATGGGATTAAATAAAAAGTCAGTTGCTCTCCACTGTTCTCTAACTTGGAAATAACGGAATGGTGTGAGTGGTCTCATTTTTAATGGATATGGAACTTGTATTACTTGAGACGTCTGAATCAAATTAACTTTCCTTGCTCTGAATTTTCCCTTTGAGTTAATTTCTACTCTAACAGGTTCATAAACACAGTTTGGATTTACAACTTCAATTACATATGATCCTGACGGTACATTTGAAATAATAAACGTTCCATCCTCCCTAAAAGTGTAAAACATACAAAGTACAAATATATTAATAGGGATACTAATATAAAGTTGAAATAAGCATTACTTCAGATATTTTCTATCTGATAAAAATATACAGTTGAAAAATTTTTAATTTTCAGCCAAAAATATCTAACGTAAATTTACCTTAAGAAACCATAATGTTCTCCACCATTAGCCATGACATGAGTCATTAATTGCCATCCACTTGGAGCTCCATTTTCCCATGGAAATACTTTTCCTTCGATAACATACAGATCTGTCGATATATCCTCGTCATTTTCGGCGATTACATACTTATTCGATGTGTTGATAATAATAAAAAGTAGAAAAATAGCACTTTTATACATAATTATATTGGATGTACACTCAACACACAGAAGTTCGTATCAGATGTTTAACTGCTGCCACTACAGTAAAGTGTAGATTACTATTATTGAACTATAGATCTTTTAAATATTATTTTAGATATTATTTCTGATACTTTTGAAGTACAAAATTATATTACATATTTTTAAAGATTATATTAAGTTTAATGAATTAGAGAATATTTTAAATAAAACATAACATATGAGTTGTTCCTATATAACGCGTATTGGTAGTACTGAATAATACTTCAGTTTTCAGAGCATAACTAATTAGGCGAAACGTTTTAGTCTTGTGCGGTCAGTAATAAATAATTTGTTATTCTAGGATCACATATATTTACATTATTGAAGAAATTAAGAAACAGTAAGAATATCAAAATGGATGACAAATTACGTCAAATGGAAGATGAGATGAATAGGTATTAAATAGTTGTAAATATACACAATGTTCCTAACCTTTTTGTTATAATTCGTTTTATTGGTTATTTATATATATATATATATACACTTCTGTTTACTATGCAACTAATTATTTAATTTACGTTTTTAAGTTTCAAGTGGCTGATTTCTTACGAAACAAATAAATTATTATAAATCTTTGTACAAATATGATTGAAAACTTGTACTTGAAGTATGAATGGTTTTATGTATTAACAAATTAAAACTAATTCTTAGATTTGAAGCTGAAATTGGTGGTCAGTTAGTTACACCAATGGTTAGACCTGTAATTGGTGCAAATACTTATAATCAAGTGGCTAGACAATTGGAGCAACATGAACTTCCAACACCAGTTGTTGCTGCTGCTGCAGCTAGTTTAGCTTTTCCTCCAATGATTGGATTTCCACCACCTCCGCCACCACCACCACCTCCTCCTCCACCACCGCCAATGTTAATTCCACAACAAGTAGCAAGACAAGGTAAATGGATATAAAGCTTTTTCATCATAAGATTACATTTATTGCAAGTAGTTTACTGATGAGCTATTGTCTTACACAGGTACGGTTCCTTCTATTACAACATACTCATCACCTGCACAGATAAGTAATCCATATTTACCAAATATGGTGGACCCGTGTTTAAGTGCTACTCCAAAAACATACGAATCTACATCAGCACCAATGATTCATCCAGAAATTATTGAACAGATTATCAATACAAAGATCCCAGAAGATGACAGCAAAAAGAAACCCAAGGTGAAAGGTGTAAGTACTGCAGCAGAATTAGCAATTAGCCAAGGGAAGGCAAGTTCTATCATGGCTAATGCTAGCGCAGAAGAGACTCATCCAAAGGGTAAAGGGAAGAAAAATAAAAAAATCATACGAATGGCTGGTGGACAAACATGGGAAGATCCTTCCTTACTAGAATGGGATGAAGGTTAATTATTTATTCATATTTATATTCTTCATAAGCTTTAATTTGTTTTAAATATATTTTACATTTTTCTTTATATTGCAGATGATTTCAGAATATTTTGTGGAGATTTAGGAAACGACGTCACAGATGAAATGCTAGTAAGAGTCTTTGGCAAATATCCGAGTTTTCAGAAAGCAAAGGTAGTCAGGGACAAAAGGACAAATAAGACGAAAGGATTTGGGTTTGTGTCCTTCAAGGATCCACAAGATTTCATCAAAGCAATGAAAGAAATGAACGGTAAGAGAAATAATCACTTATTATATAATAATTTAAGATAAATTCTCAAAGATAAATATTCTCAAATATGAAAAAAATAACTGATTTTAATATAACCAAAGTTATACATAAGAAGTAAGTTTTAATTTTCTTAGAAACTAAAAATTCATTTTATTATGGTTTTGAATCATATAACAGAAAAGAATAAATGATAATTTTATACATAATGAGGTAGAATCTTTAATATTTTACTGAATTATTTAGTGAAGTTTTAATGAAAATTTAAAGGGATATTAATGCTTGATTTCTCATATAATAATTATTCACAGCTAACAAAATTAAGAAATTTTTTGGTAGATTAAAACAAAACGTTTGAATAAATATTTAAAAAGTATGTACAAATAATTAATGAATAATTGGAGTTATGGTTATTTGCGGATGTTTTTTTAGAAAAAGGATATTTAGATTGTAATTTATCTAAAATATGACTCTTAGTTAAAATTAAATATAACTAAATATCTATACAGTTGATTTCGTATTCCAAAATTATGAGATCAGTATTCCATTTACACACTTAAGTAGGAGATTCTTTTCATTTGCCAAACGGACCCCAGCCATATGATATAAAAAGCTGCGGTATTATCGAGTATTGTCTTCTTTGTTGCGTGGAACTTCCATTACGCACAGCAATGCGAGTATTAGGATGTATTATAGGTGGCGTTGTACTTTCAGTTTTTCCCAGATCTTGTTGTTGTGAAGTACCTTAACATAACATGTACCATGTGTATCTGTGCTTATATGCGATAATGTATTATCGTTTTCTTTCTTGTTTAATATTTCCTTACTGGCATAATTTCCACGAGGACTATATGGATTCATATAAAGAATAGAAAAGGGCATGCCGCCAGCACCCCAACTACGTGACATATCTTTCTTCGACAATCTATTTCCGATTTGCTTGTTAGCCAGTGACAATTGGTGAACTTTTCTGTTCAGTGGTGGGGAACTATCACCCCATGTTTCTATAATCGTATTGGGATCTAAGCTTGAAGTTTCTCGACGAATATCCATTCTATAATTCATAACAGCATTATTTCCTATCATTATATAGAATAATATGGGAATTAAGGATCATACAAATTATCTACTTTGATATGGGGAGGTCCTCTGGAGTCAAAGGAATATCTTTCTGAACTTCTTGCATCGGTAACCATTTCCAACAACCTCCATTTGAAGAGCATGCAGAGGAGACCACAGCATCCAATACATTTTGTTCCAAACTGTTCCTCATATCAAGCAGTGGCACTGCTTGACACACCATCCACAGTGCGTTCAATGTGAAGACAAAGACTGTAGTCGTAAACATTATTTTTCTATCTTTATTCCTTTAAGTATATTCTCGTTCGATATCTTTCTCGTGTTCGTTCAACGTTTCCACTTCCGTGAAACGATTCGTTAATATAGATAATACAGCTGGTGTGCTCCCACTGGCGAATTCTGAAAAGTATTATAAAACTAAATAAACCTTTGATAAATTTTCGATGGAAAACGTATGCAGGCATCGCGTATAAATTTAATAGAAACGTGGGTGACGATGCTGTATCGCGAAACGCATCATGGTCGAACGTCGTGACGATCGGTCGTGATCGTTATTAGGCCGGTCACAAATCCTTGAATTTGACGACAGTCAGGTATGCTGTTTACGTTTTCCAGACATTTCTGCAATGGTTACGTTCTATTTATACAACATTCCTGCTAAATTTAGTGCGGTGAATAACCACCAACTTGCCGATTTTAGTGACTGGGGTAGGGAGAGATAGCATTGTCGCTCGTTGACAATGAAACCGACACTTGAGCGATTTCAGATGGACCAAAGGATTTTTAATCAGCTTGCTAATTCCGTTTAATTCGTTTAAGTATTGTTTATACATTTCCTAGTTTCGTTCATTATTTTTTCCCCCGTTGTTCGGCTTAATATAGGGAAGGTTCAGAAGCATATTCTTTTTTTCTTTCAGAATTCTGAGACTGATAGCTAAAAGGTACTATTCAACTAATGCAAAACTAATATGCCATCTTATTTAAAAAAGAATGAGAAGGCATTTGATCTTCCGTTAGAAGTCATCCGACCCCTATAATTTGATCCACTCATAATGATTAGGGTATGATGATGTTCCATCTAATTAGAAAAAAGCTCGTGTCTCAGTATTTTTAATTAAAAAAAACAGTTCTGGGGATGTCTTACGCGACTCACCCTGCATATAAGCTATTTCAATGAAACGTACAATTATATCATGAATGAAAAAAGATTACTAAAAGATTTAGAAAGAAAGAATTATAAAAAATGTGTATTTACAAATTAATTGTTTAAAACGACCGATTATTGTTTTTCATTATTTTATGTTTTTTAGCAATGTGAAAGAAATTGTGGAAAGAAGCTTAAAAAATATTTATCGCAGTCCTTTTGCAAATTAGAGATTGCCGATTCTAATGCTCTGCATTTATTGGAAAACACATGCAATTACTTGAAAAAATAGCTATACCTATGAGGTCGGCTCTACGTATCTATCTACCGGTGATTTATTAAAATGACATCTTTTCAGTCTCTACGAGCGGAATTTTATATCTAGTTTGAAATTTAAAACAATACTCTATTACTGAGATTAATATTTATGAGATTCATAAAATATGGTATTATTACGGTATTGTTATTACTATCGTATAAGGAAATCGTACAATATAGCAGATCTATTACACATTGATAAAGAGAAATGAATTATTACAGTTACGTAGGTCCTTCAGTTAAGTAATTTCAGTGTGTTTATGGGCGACCATTCGAAAGTATCAAATGCGTGATTATGCGATATTATCTCAATATTTTGGCAATTCTTTTTTAATAACTCGATCTAAGTGTTATTAATACGAAATATTTCGTATTTTCTTTACATATTCTATTTAATGGCACTTAGAAAAAGATACCATTTTATGTTCGAATTCTGTACAATTACTGTGTCCCAAACGAGAGAAAAAAGAAATTTCATTAATTTCATACCACAGCTAAGCTTCGTATAAACATTCAACGAAAGATTCTAAAATTGCATTGAATTAAAAAAGCAAATAAGAAAATGGAAAAATATTAAGAAAAATTAAAAGACTCACCGTGGGCTCGACCGTCTGTTCGTTCAGTCGTCCGTTCGGTTTCTCGTTAGAGGAAATTCGTTGTTACCTCTTCGTATCAATCTCACCGAGTTCCTCGTGAGTTTAGCGCGCGAATACGGAGCCACTTGGACATCCGTTACCCGTCGGGGTGACTACGACGGAATGCGTTGCGACCTCGCTCGTCCCGGTACTCATTCAACAACCCCTACCAGTACCGTTCTTCCCTTTAACCCCTCCACCTAACCATAAAACAGCCAATCGGAATCGTTTATTCGACAAACAACCGATCGTGTGCGACGTGACTTCTTACTCGTCATCATAATCGTCATCGTACCCGTTACATCTACCTAGTGGATATCGTCATCGTTACGCTTCATTGCTCTTTTTGCCGAGTCCTTTTCGCTTCTTTCGTCATTCATTTTTCTTGGTAGTTCGGTAGCTTAGTTTAGTTTCTTAGCGAGTCTTTCTCTGTTTGCCTTTTTCAGTATCGATGGCGTCAGTCGGTACTTTTTACTTTTAGATTTGTTTGATCAATATGGAAAAAGGGAGAGAATATTGAAAGATCCGCTGAAAAAGTATAAAATCGCAAGCGTAAAGTTGTAAAGAATTGTTCCACGTGCTAGAATGTATTAACGAGTTTCTAAGATTTAACAAGAGTTTAATAAGTTTTTTCTCATCCTCATTTTCGTCATATTTCCTTATATTTTCTACCAACCTTTCACCATTTCTTTCATTTATTTCGTAATTATACCGTCCTCTTATCTTTCCTTAGTACGTCACTCTCTTTCTCTTCGTCATCTTCTCTCTCGTTTACTTCATTCTTCTCGTTTTTTCGCTCCTTCTCATCTCTTTAACAAATCCTCTTCGTGTTTCTTCTTTCTTTTTTTCTTTTCTTACGAATGCTTGCTTCTTTTCTTGAATTTTCTACCACTTCTCTGTAACTCCCCCGCAGTTTCTTCACCTTTCTTTCTGTTTTCTTCGTATCTTCCTCCCGTCTTCTTCGTCTTCCTTAGCGTCTTTCTCAACTGCTGTCGTAATCATTATCTTTCTCGTTCGCTCGACTTTCCTTGCTCTATTACTTTGTTTTCGATTACACTTATTTTTTTTGTTATGGTATTAACCATGTTATATTGTATAATATTTATTTCTGTATAAAGCAAGTCAGCCAATTGGGCAAGCTGTATCTCTTGCTTCGTATTAGATGGAAGAAATTTTGCAGAGAAATGAGTTGAGTAGAGGACCGATCTTTTTCCTATTTCACATTCAGGGTATACGCAATGAAGATTAACGATACTGTCGCTTCTTTCCATTCATATCATTGTAGTACATTGTTTTATTACGTAATCTCGAATCTTTGAATTTTAGATGGTTTCAAAAATATTCCAAAAGTTTATAGTCTCTCGTTCGAAGACCTTTCCTATCGCTATACTAATTTACATATTCCCATCTTTCTTCTACTAATTTATATCTCAAGTTCCGATTGAGTTGGATTTGTTTATTATTATCGTTATTACCAAAAAATGTGTAGCTTGGTGGCTTCGAGACTACAATAACGCAATTGTTCTATCTAATATTTATTTTTACAACATCGGTGGATGAATAAAAGCAACTTTGTTTCGCCACATTACGAACATAAATGAGACCAATAGAGCGTCTCACAAATCTTTCAATAACTAGACCTATAAGAACCACGATGGCCCAACACTTCACTTAACGATTAATTGAACTATTATAGCTACTTATTTTTATTATTTCCAGATACGTCTTTTACCTATTAGTGGTCTGTTACAACGTGTCTTATCTGAACAGTATCTAAAATCTAAAGTATATCGATATGATACAGATATCGTCCGATCGGTTGGTCA